TATACTCATTATCCATTAGTAACGTGCATGGCCAGGGCAAAACTGTCCACTTTTTCTCTAATCTTATTATAGAAGGCGGATGAACAGCATTGACCTCCATCCTTGAAATAGGCTACTAGTTGCTCTCTAAAAAATAACGAGAACAAGGCTTTTATTCAGCTAATAACCGACAGACCAGAGGTCTTCATTGTGAAAGCTCAGCTTCATTTGTGATACGAACTTCTTTTTTGGGTCGGCCCACAAATAAGTCACCTACCAGCGAACACTTGTCTGAAGGATAAACTAACTCAAAAAGCGTCTCGAAGATCTGTCTAAATGCAGTAAGTTCGATAATCACAGTTTATATAGATGACGTCCCTTCTTTAGTGCAACAGTGTTCATTAACGTTTTACCGATGCCAGTAGTCTCAATGATCCCCACCGTCGTCGGAACGAAAACTGAATATAAAAGACTAGATTGGCAGAGTCGTGAAAGTTCGGTCGAAATTTTGAAATGCATTCCCGATTCGAAAAGACTACTTAAGTAATTACTTTATTAATCAGGTAATAACTTAATTATCATGCATCAGAAACCCAAGCCATTTAATTTACGTGAGAATCTCGGCATTTGAAGGAGCTCCTTTCTGGCCGTCTTCAAAACAACACTGCATGCACGGCTTCCACTGAGTTTCAATGGTTTCATAGAAAACATCACAAAATATCCGTTCTTATACTCATTTGGTACCAAATGACGTCTCCCTTAAATTTTATTCTCGAAAAAGGGCATATTTCGGTTTTAAAAACGATTTCAATTTCTGAATAATTTTGAACTTGGCCTCCTGTTACGCTTTCTAAACTGCATGCTGTAGACCTTTCGCCTAGGAAAGTTCACAGTCCTTAATGTTGTTTGAAAGAGGTCACATAGTGCTCATAACATTTTTCAATGGATGGGGACCATGTTGTGCGCTTGATAAAGAGCACGAATAAATGGACAGATGCAATGCATTATGAATGCGGGCTTTTCAAAATCGTAAAAATATCCTAATCTCCTAAACTCTGCACATGTCTTAAACTATCCTACTATAACCTATGATTAAGGATTCTAAACAGAATCCGAAACGTCAGGAAAATCAAATTCTTGTTCCAGTGGTCGCATCTTCTTCTGAACGGCTCCCTGGAACTCGCATATTAATTTCTATTGGCAGAAACTCTTAAAACCAACAACTGTCGTTTCTTCAAGCATAAACTTTAAAGAAGACGTTATTTGCTACGACTGAGTACAAGAAAGATTATTTTAGTGTATTTTAGAATATCTGAATTTATAAGAGCATTAAAAGTCAATCAGAGGTATGCACACTACCCATCTTTTACGAAGTATCGTTTTTTGTAGACGGCCAGGAAAAATTTCATTCGAAAGTCGGCATCCTGACGCGACATAAATATGTTGCGATTATGCTGTACGATAATTAAGATGCCAACTCTACTTAAGTAATCTTTTCGAACCGGAAACACATTTTAGACTTTTGATCAACATATTAAGAGGTGGTATATCTACTAGAAGTATGCCTAAGATACAGAAAATTTTATATCCAAACCTGCGTTCGCTATTGGTATATCCTATTTTTTTAATCGATAGTCAGTCCTCCTATCCGAAAATGGGACGCCACACGGGCTTTTATTTCTGCAATTCCCAATAACGCACAATAAACTTTGTCTTCCACATCTCGAGCGATGCAAAGTACGAAAGAAGGTTTACGTGAAGACAATGGGCTTCGTTTTGAAAAACGTTCTTCAGCATTAAACAGCTGACTAGCTGGCATATTACATAGTATACCTACTATTAAAAGAATTTAAAGCAATGGATTTAAAATTCACGTTCAGCTCACCAATATATTTTTCAAAATAGTCATTATTCTCACAGTTAACAAGTAAGTCCAGATGGTAGACGGTATTCTACAAGTTTTGGGAATTAACAGTTTTCCACCAGCATTACTACGAATACTATTGCTCAGTCCACTCCTTTCCTTGTTATTAGGGTTAAACCGCCTGACTCTAGTTTTACGTGGGATTAATGAAGACTCTGAAGGTTGGACTCACATTTCCATATAAGAGAAGTTGGTTTGTTTCCTCTTCTTGCTGTAGCATGAGCTGTTGATTGTTGGCCTCCCATTCTACAACGCAAAAACTACAATAAGGGACCATAATACACACGAATTTCTGGATAAAGTGATAGCAAACCCCCCAGCTGCTTCCTGAATATATCAATACTTGGCGAGTCTTGGAGTTTTTCAGTACAAGAGCACGCAAATAACTATGCGGGTGCCTGAGTTACTTGTAGACTACAATCAACTTCATGTAAATGTCGAAGAGCCCAACAAGTTGAAGAAAGTGTAGGGGCGGCGGTCCAGTTTGAAAGTAGAAAACCA